TCCATTAAAGAATGTCAACACAGAAAATGATTTTCACCAAATAAGCTAGTTTGGTTTTTGCATTTGCAGTAATTGGTTGTTGATAATTTCTTCAAGAAAACCATAAATGAAGAGCTATTCTCCTTCTTCAGGCTTTTAAAATTGACATACTGTAGAAAAATTCTCTTTGAAAGGGGGTTTAACTGCCGGTATTTGAACCCATAAAGGCTTGGAAACCATTGCTATTGACCATTTATTGATGTCTAAAATGGGATAGGTGAAGATTGATAAGGAATTGCTCGATTTCAAAGAAAAATTGGTTAGCTAATCAAAGAAAAAAAAGTCCCATTTGGTTTGCGGGAATAGGGGTCTGGAATCAGAATCGAAATGAGCTATTCCAATTCTAACTGTTTGGTTGGACGGAGTCAGAACCCCATTTCCATTCCTGCTGGAATGGCATTCCCTCATTTGAGGGAATGATCATTCCCTACCTCTCMTTTGGGAATGAAATCCCATTCCTGCTAATTTCAATTCTCTTTCTTATTCCTGTTTGAACCAAACATACTATAAAAGTAGACCATTCTGATTCTGATTCCAAAGGTTTTCGATTCCAGTTCTAACTGCAAACCAAACAAACCCTCAATTACTATTTAAACTGGCTTAGATGAGGCTGAGGTCAACCCTGACCCAACTTAACCCTAACCTAACCCAACTTAATCTTCAACCTAGGACTCTCAACCCTAACCAACCTGATTATCTAATCAGAACCTTACGTACCAAATTTATAGAGCACATATCATATTCATGTTATCGCTATTACATACCAAAAAATGACAAATAAACATCATAGTACAAGAAACCACCACCATCGTCTTCTCTCCTCTCACGTAAGCACAATTATATAAATCAATACATGTATTAAGATATCGAGTTGCTCAAGCTATCAACCTTATCCCAACTACTGTATGTTGGTTAGTATTTTCCAGTTGGATTCGAACCCATTCTTCAACCCAACCCAAAACCCCAAACTGTCCAATCCATCAATACGATCGTAGTTGATCTGTATGGTTGGATTATTCGGCTTGAGAATTATTTAGGCAATCGATTCTATTTTACCTCAAAATTGGTCCCTGGTCAAAAACTGTTGAATTAGTTAATAATCCATTGATCCAGGAGACYGAATTGTCGATCTGTTTGACCCATTTAATGGCTTTCAGTTGTTTTTTATTTACGTTTTTTTTTTTAATTTTTGTCAGAAGGGTCATCCATTCATCAATCCAGAAACTGGTGCTCAGAACGATTTCGACTCTAGGTTGGTTTTTAAAACATTATACGACACAAAGGGGATAACCCATTGCCAATCCATATCCCCAATTCAAACCTTACCAATCAACCAGTTGGCATATTGCCTATTTTGACCATGTGTCAGGCGTTTTACTGAAGAAAATTGCACCATAAATATGAGAATATAAGAGGAACATGTGATTCCCTTTTGATCAGTGAAAACGTCTTGCCATGTAGGACATTGGTTCCCGAACACTTTATACGAACTAGACACTCCAATCAATTGGCAACTCAGCTCCCGTTAACCTTCATGAAGTATGGTCTTTTCACCACAATTTTAAACTGCCACTAGTTAGGCCCAGTGTAATCAATGAGTTTTGTTCAGTAAAATTGAAATAGGAGCCCTCTAATGTTTCTCAGTTTTTCATATTCTAAGAAAAGCCCTATAGGATGATATTATATATTACATTTAACTTTTATGAATTGCAACTAAATTTAATTAGTTGTGTAAATATTAAAGCTTAAGTTTACTTAACTTTAATGAAATATTTTTTTTT